CGTTTTATGGTGGTGCTTCTCTTATGTTGTTTTGGGTTTAAGAGTCTCCTTTGTTTGTCATCTATGTGTTGGATCATCATCCATCATATTGCTTTAAGAGTCTTGTTGCATTTGTCTTTTAAGTCTTCTGTTGTTGTCGTTGTTGTCATGTTGTTAATTTTCTTATTGTTTGTTTGTGTCTATGTTTGTGTTTCATTGTTATGATATTTTTTGTAACATGAAAATGCAAATACAAAACTCAGAGAAACAATGATGTCTATTGAAGAACAAAAAGTGAATTTCAACCATACATCAAAAAGTATAAAAATATATTATTAGGAGAAAAAAAATAAAAAAATCCGGTGGCTGAGAAAATTTAACGGTAATGTAATAAACACTCTGCAACAGTATCTTCTTCCTCCACACTGACACATTTCGTCGAACACCTTTCGCTAATGTCAGTGAGCAAACTTCCTCATCTCTCCCATGGCGTTCACACTATCAACTTCCTCAATTTCACCAACGAACCAGTGGTTTTAAGTGTATTGCTCCCATGTCCCTCTCGGATTCGAGTATTCTCGACCATTTCCACCACCGGGATCGGCGGCACTGGGGTCGCCAAGTGCCAGGGAACGAGACATAGCGGCGCCGGTAGAGGTGATAATGGGTTGAGGAGTGGATTAGGTTTCGACGAGAGAGGAGAGAAAAAAGTGCCTTGTGAGGTTGATGTGATCTCTTGGAGAGAACGGAGGATAAGAGGCGAAATCTGGGTCGATTCTGATTCTCAATCTGTTTGGAATGTTCTTACTGATTATGAGCGACTTGCTGATTTCATACCCAATCTCGTTTGGAGGTACTTCACTCACTAATTACCACTTTTTGTTCATATTATCTACAGAATTCTTCTGAATAATCTCTAAAGATCCACTTTTGATGTAGTCTGGTTGATGGCATATAAATTGTTATAGTGAATACAATGAATCTAATTCTCCAAGAGAATGCTGAATCTCCATGCATAGTTACCTCACATTTGTTGAGTACTGTATATGTTATGAATATTGAATTGTTGAAGCTAACATGACCTTAATGGTGATTGTTTCAACATCTAGTGGAAGAATTCCTTGTCCACAACCAGGACGTATATGGCTGGAGCAACGAGGCCTTCAAAGAGCGTTGTATTGGCATATTGAGGCTCGTGTTGTCCTTGATCTCCATGAGTGTCTAGATTCTGTGAGCACTCTTAAGCTTTACTTTTTCTCTTGCTAAATGATTGGGACTGATTCTAAAACCTGAAAACTCTTCCGGATTCTATGGTACTGTTTTTATGCATATTTCATCTTTTGTGAAGTATCAAGAGGTTGCCTTTACATTGTATGGTCTGTAATCATGATTAAATAGGAATTGCCTGCTTCTTCCCACTTTTTCTAGATCCTTATTCCTAAACTCTTATTAGTTCAAGAAAAAATAAATCATAGTGAGGTTTACTTATTTGAATATCCATGGTTTTAATGAGTTCTCTTTCCGACTGCTTTGCACTCCTTGGATTGGGTATATGGCTTAGGATTAGTTAATCGTTACACTGAGTTCTTACATTACCTTGTTTCTCAATCCATACATGTCTATTAATGTAGTTTCATGCTGTTTTTCCTTTTATCGTTTTAGCCAAATGGCCGTGAGCTTCACTTCTCTATGGTAGATGGTGATTTCAAAAAGTTTGAGGGAAAGTGGTCTGTGAAATCTGGTATCAGGTACACTCATTATTACCCGTAAAAATTTTGTGTGCACATCCTATCATCATTGAAATCCTCTATAAATTTGTATCAGAGAAAATATTTCTTTAAACAATCTGTTATGCATTTCTAACCACGGATCATTTTGGAACCATCTATGTTCAGGTCCATAGGAACTGTCTTGTCATACGAAGTAAACGTAATCCCCAGATTTAACTTCCCTGCCATTTTCTTAAAGAGGATAATCAGATCAGATCTTCCTGTAAATCTCCGGGCCGTAGCTCGCCAAGCTGAGAAAATTTATAAAGATTGCGGAAAGCCGTCAATAATAGAAGATTTGTTGGGTAGAATATCTTCACAGCCAGCCCCTTCTCATGGTGTTGAGTTCGAAAGTCTTGCTACTGAGAGATCTGTTGCTTCCAGTGTTGGATCATTAGCTCATTCAAATGAATTGAACAACAACTGGGGAGTGTATGGAAAAGTCTGCAAGCTTGATAAACCTTGCACCGTGGATGAAGTTCATCTTCGTAGATTTGATGGTCTATTGGTAAGAAGTTTGGTTCAAAACTTACTCTATATACTACGAAAAAAAAAGTTTTCCCACCTTTTGTGGTTATTAGTCAGTGGTTTTTTTCTTGGATGAAGGAAAATGGAGGTGTTCACCGTTGCGCTGTTGCTAGTATAACAGTTAAGGCTCCTGTATGTGAAGTTTGGAAAGTTCTAACTTCTTACGAGAGTCTTCCAGAGTAAGTACCGAACACATATATTATCATATTCGGGCTGCACTGTTCTGACCTTAAGGAGGATTTTCTTGTCAATCTTCTTTAGATGTTGGTTTTGTTGGCTTATATATATATCTTTTTCTCTTCTGCGTTTTATTGGTTATGAACCTATCAGGATAGTTCCAAATTTGGCAATCAGCAAGATTTTGTCACGCGATAACAATAAGGTCCGAATACTTCAGGTATGAGCATTCTCATCCGCGGTAACCTTGTAATCAAATTTGGAAAGGACTAGAAATCATTCTACAAGTACTTGTATTGGGTACTAACACTGGAAAAAAATTATAAGAGATAGAATTTGGTTGCCAAAATATGACTCATAATTTGCTCTTTCATGATTCAGAAAGGCTCTGCATTTAGTCTGGTCTTGAAGATCAAAACTCTGACACTGGCCAAAGCCAATGTTTCTTATCTTGATTTCAAGAAATTATATAACTAAACTGAATCTGTTTGCAGGAAGGATGCAAAGGCCTGCTTTACATGGTGCTTCATGCGAGAGCTGTTCTCGATTTGCATGAGATTCGCGAGCAGGAAATCAGATTTGAGCAGGTTGAAGGAGACTTTGACTCGCTAGAGGGGAAATGGATTTTTGAACAATTAGGAAGTCACCACACACTTCTCAAGTATACAGTGGAGTCCAAAATGCGAAAAGATTCATTTCTTTCTGAAGCAATCATGGAAGAGGTTTGGTTAACAATTGAGTGTGTTCAGTGCCATCTTTTGTTCTTATTGTAACCACAATGTTACTCTGAAACTTTTCAGGTTATATATGAAGATCTTCCGTCAAATTTATGCGCTATTCGGGATTACATTGAGAAAAGAGGAGAGAAATCTTCAGAGTCATGTAAACTGGAGACATGTGAAGTTTCAGAGGAAACATGTTCTTCATCTCGTGCCACAACAGTTGAGACAGTTTACAATAATGATGATGGTTCGGACCAAACTAAGCAGAGACGGAGGATTCCCGGTCTGCAAAGAGACATTGAAGTATTGAAATCAGAGATTCTAAAGTTCATATCAGAACATGGACAAGAAGGATTCATGCCCATGAGGAAGCAGCTTCGGTTACACGGAAGAGTTGACATTGAAAAAGCCATTACAAGAATGGGTGGATTTAGGAGAATAGCTTTGATGATGAATCTTTCACTTGCTTATAAACACCGAAAACCGAAAGGATATTGGGACAATCTTGAAAACTTGCAGGAGGAGGTAAAGGTTCTAGACATGTTCACAAATTAAAACCATTGTCCAATGGTGTTTACAAGAGCTTCTCCCTCTGCATGTGTTTGCAGATAGGAAGATTTCAACAGAGTTGGGGAATGGATCCATCATTTATGCCGAGCAGAAAAACGTTCGAACGCGCAGGTATAAAGAGTAAACTCTATTTAAGCTTTGTGTGTTCCTCTCAATCAGATTGGTCTAAGAAACATTTGGTCTGTCGTTTCAGGTCGTTATGACATTGCACGGGCGCTGGAGAAATGGGGAGGATTACACGAAGTGTCTCGTCTTCTAGCATTGAACGTGAGACATCCGAACAGACAGGTAAATTCTCGTAAAGACAACGGTAACACGATACTGAGAACTGAATCTACCGAGGCCGATTTAAATTCAGCGGTTAATAAGAAAAGTAAACCTTACGTCTCTCAAGATACAGAGAAATGGTTGTATAATCTTAAAGATCTTGATATCAATTGGGTTCAATATTAAAGCATTAATTATGTACATTTCACTATTTGTGTAGTCTTGTAATTCGCAAAGATAAACATGTATTTATGTAAATTGCAACATTAGATTGAAATAATCTTAATTCTTATAGATCTTGATCTCTTTTTATTGTTTCAGCTTTTTTTAGTGTTTATATTTAACTTTGAAAAGAAAAAAAGTGAGAGAGCACCGAACAATAAGGAGGATAATAGCAAGGAACAAAGAAGTAAAGGCAAGTCAATGAAATTTGATAGTGATGGTTTTAAGAAAAAACAAATGTCCCATCATTGTCTTCCTTCAATGTGAAATGAAATTACACGTAATTAGAAACAAACTTCTTTCTAGACGTTTTAGATTATTACAGAAACCAAGTTTCAGAGGTCGTGACTCGTGACTGAAGAGAAAGGGTCAAGATGTTTGGATGTGAATTGTGATGTGAAAAGGGAAGAAAATCAAAATTCAAAAAGGGGAAAACAGTAAAAGATATAAAATACATGCATAAATCTAGAAATGAATAAGGGGTTTAAGATTGAAGGCAAACTAACAAAAAAATCTTGAATCTTACTACTCTATGTTATGACTTATGATAATTGGGACCTTCCTCTAAATTTAGACAAACCCTCCAACAGCTAAAGAAACATGTAACAACATTTTTCTTTTTTACATATAGACTAATCAGGAGAAATGATAAAAATGTAGCTTTCACTTCAAGATCTACAAATAGTCAGCAAAACCCATTTCACAAGAACTATCAAAGAAGATAGCCAAAAAAAAGAGTAGAATTAAGTAAGAATGTGATATGTCGGTTGGGGGGAATGAAGCCTGGTCCGAGAATCATTTAGGGTTTTCATTCTTTAAGATGAATCAATCTATAATGATCTTCTTCATGACCTCGAGCCAGACAACATTCCTCTCAACCCTAAACCCAAAGGAGGATAACTTTCTGTAAGTAGACAGAAGAAAGAAGAAGAAGAAGCTAAATAGGTGTATGTGTGAGACGAATCTTTATATATATAGGAGAGAGGAGCAAATGACCACAAGACCAAAATTTTCATATTTACTTCTCTTACATTAATTTAGTAAAATTTTGGGGTTTTGGTTACTGTCTTAATATAGTGTGTATAGGGTTGCCTTTTATAGAATTTTACAGTGAAATCCAGAGTTGTAAAGATAAAAGTAAAACATACTCCATTTGTACATTCAAACTTTTCCTCCATGTATATATCTTCATTTGTCTTTAGTTGTTTCTTAAATTTCCTTCTTTTCCGAGGTCAACAGTAGTTTAATCTCTCTACATTTTGTTGGTTAATTGGTTCTACTTTAACAAAAAAAAATTGTATGTGGTAAACGAGATCCATAAATCCTAAAATATATCTATACTAATAATACATAGACAAGACATGTAACATAATTGTTTTGTTACCACACATATTGCCTCTTCATTCCTTAGCTACTGTACATAATCATAACAAGTACTGTTATAAAATCTTAAAAGTGTAACTTTGAGTTAATTGGAGACAAGTACCATGGTTTCTAACTTTCTATCTCATTATTGCCTTATTATTTCTTTTGGATCTCTCTCAATGAACTCCTACTTTTTCTGTTCTTTTTATTCTAAATTTTAATCAGAATTCTAATTGTACACAAGTATATATTCAAAAATATGTTTCATTTAACTTGTATATATGGGTGCATTGGCTTTATATAGGTGGTTTATGACGACTTCACGAACATATGCATTGATTGTTGTGAAAATGACAAAACATTGTTTTGGTCTTTACCTCGGTACGTCCAAATTTTTTCTATACTAGATCGCTTTTTAAATTTTACATACAAGACTATTTTAAAATTCAACCATAAAACATTTTTTTTGTCTTTATTATTGGTCAACATACCATTTGGATTTCTTTTATTATTTAACTATACTAAGTATATATATAGTAAAGTTATAATTTAGCTATAGCTGTACAACAAAGTGAGACAGACAACGTTGGAAAAAATTTGATAAGACCACATAAAAATAAGAAGGATAATGGGAAAGAGCAAATAAAAGGCACGTAAAAGATATTTGATAGTGACGGTTTTAAGAAAATTAAAGTCTCGTCGTTGTCTTCAATATGAAATGAAATTACACGTAATTAGAAACAATCTTCTTTCTGTGTTTTAGATTATTACAGAAACCAAGTTTCAGAGATCTTGACTCGTGACGGAGAAAGAGAGAGAGAGAGAGAGCGTTAAGATGTGAACTGTGACGTAAAAAGCGAAGAAGAAAAAGATATATAGAATTCAATCTTGAAAAGCATGCATAAACCCAAAAAAGAAAAGGGTATGATATTGAAGTAAAATATCATTCAATCTTGAATATCTCTAATTTGCTCAGTTTCTATTTATACATATATATAGAGCTCTATAATATGATAACTAAACAAAACCAAAAAACAACGACAGTTTCCTTTCTCATGTAGTCATGTAGAATTAATCTAATAACAAGATCAAGATCAAAACTTATCTCGCTCGCAAGATAGATCAAATATGAAACTAAGACAAAAAAAAACTAAAGGAAGAAAGTGGGCAAAAACCGATAAGTCGGTTAGGGGGAATGAAGCCTGGTCCGAGAATCATTTAGGGTTTCTTAATTCGTTCTTCCAAATTAATTCGAGTGATCCTCTTCTTCATGACCTCGAGCCAGACAACATTCCTCTCAACCCTAAAACGCACCACAATAATTAAATCAACACTAGAACGTTATCAAGAAGAGAAAAGAGACCACACAGTCAAAGGAAATGTGAATGTGATGAAAATTTATGTAAGAAGAAAGACGAAAAGAAAAGAGATCAAAGTTAAAGATAATGTGAATGTGATGAAACTTTTTGTAAGAAAAAGAGAAAGAAAGGTATGTGTGCATGAGACAAAATAAATCCAGGTCTTGTATATATATAAAGAAAGAGAGAGGAATACAAATGACCATAACCCCAAGAGTTTTCTTGATTTTTTTTTGTCTTTTATTACTTCTCTTACATTAGTTTACTAATTAGTATGCAAAATGTCGGACTGTAATATGGCAATTGAATTTTGGTATAGAGTTTATGTTGGTATGAAACTTTTGGGAAGTGTAATGAAAAAATGCGGACCGACAATGAATTTATGATGGTATGGAGAAGTATGCTCAAGTGCATACTAGTATAGAGATTTTTAGTATGCACTCAGTGCATACTAGTCCGAAATAGTGAATGGTGCATTAAGTGCGCACTGATCCGATTTTAGTCCAGTCTGCAACATACTATACAACCATTCAAAGCCTAACTATATGGTTACCTAAAAAACAGAGTCACACAACCAATTGCCTGATTTGGGTGTGAATTGTACAAAAACAAAGTTGAAGGCGAATTTGAAAAATAGAAAAAAGAACTGGAAGGACCGATTTCCAAAGCTTGTCATTCTAGAGACTTTCAATAACGGGAAGACGTAGCATTCTTGCTATCCATCAGTTTCTTCTTCCTTCTTCTTCTTGATCATCATATGTGATTCCATTTACAAGTTCAATGAAAAATCCAATCTCTTTTCAAACGGAAGAAGAGGAAGAATCCCCATTTAACCAGCTAAATTCATCTCCTTTATCACATTTCCTTTTGATTTCTACAAGTGAAAATGTTGACTAGAGCCATCGGACGAGTTCGAATTCCTGTGTCGAGGATTCAGGGATCGAATTATACGAGTGGGTTTTTAAAAGATTCGAAATTGGGTCCGATTGGTGTTTCCTGTAGAAGATGGTTATCAAACGAGAGCGGGAAACGCTTTGCGGCGATGTGGGGAAGCGGAGATTACGGCAGATTAGGGCTCGGAAACTTGGATTCTCAGTGGACACCTGCCGTTTGCTCTGCCTTGAGTGATCACAGTATCAGAGCTGTCGCTTGCGGCGGAGCTCACACTCTGTTTCTCACCGGTGATTTCTTCATCTCCCGACTTGCTTTATGATTTTTATTTGGTGACTATCCGGAACTTTGAAACCGTAAGACGTTGCAATGTGATTTGGTATGTGAGTAATAAAAGTAGAGGGAGAAGAATTGTGTTGACTGTTGAGCTGAGAAATCTGGAGAATTGGCATCTCAACGACTTGCTGAGATTGAGTCATTCGCAGCTATGATCTTGATGGTTCTAGCTGCAAATAATCTGTATTAGAGTGGTCTTCGTTGGATAGCATTTCTTGGCTTTATTTAATTGGGCATGTTGTTGTTGAGTTGGGCTTTTGTAAAGTTATCATCTTTGAATCAATGATTGGTTTTGAAGAATTTCAGCAGTATCTGATTGTCAGCTTACACATGTGACAGAAACGAGGAGAGTCTTTGCAACGGGTCTTAATGATTGTGGTCAACTTGGCGTATCAGATGTTAAAAGTCATGCTATGGTATGTTAGTAATTGGTAGGTTGGTCAAAACACTATAGGAGTGCTGGCTTTTTTGCCTCTTTGTTCCAGTCTTCACATGTCTTTATCTCAGATAACTGGATTATAAATGATGTTTTTGAATGTTGTTATAGGACCCACTTGAAGTTTCTGGACTAGATAAGGATATTCTGCACATCTCAGCTGGTTATTATCACTCCGCTGCTATTACAGGTAAACAACCAGTAACCACAATGTTCTTCTTAAATTGTCATGACCTGAACCTGAAACATGATCTTCTTGATATAGTATGTCACTCATATTTGCTCTCTTTCATTTCATTAGTTGATGGAGAACTCTACATGTGGGGAAAGAACTCAAGTGGACAGCTTGGACTGGGAAAAAGTAGATACCTTTTCCATTCAATCATTTATGCACTGTTCTTCATGTCCTCATACATAAATTTTCTTGCTCTATTTACATGTTCTTTTCCCTTCTACATTTTTTCTTATGAAGAGGCTGCAAGAGTGGTACGTGTACCAACTAAAGTGCAAGCTCTGCATGGAATCACCATACAATCCGTGGCTTTGGGTTCAGAGCATTCAGTTGCTGTTACTGGTTTGGATCCTAGATTCTTATCTCGATACAGAAGAAAACACCTTTTTGTTTAAGTACTCGGAGAAAGCTAAGGGTATCTTTTTCTTAAGCAGATGGAGGTGAAGTCCTGAGTTGGGGAGGAGGGGGCTCTGGGAGACTTGGCCACGGTCACCAGTCCAGTCTTTTTGGCATCTTAAGAAGTAACAGGTTGGTCTGTTTTGTCTCTTTCTCATGCATTTTTTACTGACAAGAATTTTCCCATTTCCTCCTTTACTATATCATGATTCCTTCATAATTTTCTTGTATTGCGCTGTAAAGTATCCCCCTGATTGCAGTGAGTTTACTCCAAGGCTTATCAAGGAACTTGAGGGGATCAAGGTATCTAGTGGTGAAGAATATCCACCTTGAAGAGTTTCTAGTTACCTAGTGGTGGTTTTAATCTTTAGACTTTCATGCTTATGTTTTTCTGTTCTTTCTGTCGAGCACTAGGTTAAAAATGTTGCTGCTGGTCTGCTGCATTCAGCATGCACTGATGGTATTGATTTAATTTCTTAAAAGTATGAATGTTGTGCCATTTACCGACTTTATGAGGCTTGTTTGCAAATAATGCAGAGAATGGCTCTGCTTTCATGTTCGGAGAGAGATCTATAAACAAGATGGTAACAAAATGTCTTTTTCCTTGATTCTGTGGTCATATATAGTTATGTAAAGCTATCTTATGGGAAAATACAGGGCTTCGGAGGAGTAAGAAATGCCACAACACCATCGATTATCAGTGAAGTACCCTATGCAGAAGAAGTTGCTTGTGGTGGCTACCATACATGTGTTGTTACAAGTAATACTCTTTATTATTTAAAGCTTTTTTTGCTATTGAGTTCGCTTGTGTATTCTGCAAACGCCTGTCCTGCTCAAATTTATTTTTGTTGTTCTTTATAGAGGC